GGTATGTGTATACGTATAGCTGATTCACTTTGTTATACAGCAGCGGCTAACACAACAATGTAAAGCAATTGTACTCCAACAAAGATGTTAAAAGTAATAATAATAACCATAGTCCATGCCTGGATGGCAGGACTATGGAATGTTTATTTTAAAAACAAAGCTTAAAATTCTTTTCACTTAGTTTAGTTATAGAAGTAATATATAATCATCTAAAGACATTTGGAAATACAAAATATAAAAGAAAATTACTCAACAATAGTCACATACCTCAAAAAGAATCACTATTAGAGTGCTAATGCCATGTCACCTCTTTTCCACGCACTTTAAAAGTATACTATACAATAGAAACAATTTCGAATCGTTCTTTTTTTATAGCTATCATTGCAAAACAAGTATAAGGCAGTGTGATTAATCCCTGTGAAACTATTGCATAATGACCTATCAAGTAAATATATCATAATTCATTTAATTATTTCCTACAGAGAGACACTTAGAGTGTTGCATATTCAATTCAACCACATTTATTCATCAATATTTATGGAGTTTCACTTATATACACTGAGATACAGAAATAAATGGTCTCTGTCCTCTCTAACTAGGAAAATAGAGAATTATACACTTAGAACGCAGTTTGATAAAGATAAGTTCAGGTTGATATGGAAGCAGGGAGGCCAGACTCTTACCTGGTAGAATGAGGTTAGACACCCTATAGAAAGTGATATCTGAGTTCTTGGAAACGTGCAGAAAAACACAGATTAGAACAAAAGAAGGGAAAAAAAGCACTTATGTTTTTATTCTTCCTGTCTTTCCATCCATCATCACTAGTGATGGGCATTAAATTACCTTAAAATGTTTTGCTAATTTGACTTGCAAAAATAGAACCCCATTGGTTAATTATTTTTTAATTTTTTAAACACCTTTATTGTAATATAATTGCTTTACAATGGTGTGTTAGTTTCTGCTTTACAACAAAGTGAATCAGTTATACATATACATATATCCCCATATCCCCTCCCTCTTGCGTCTCCCTCCCACCCTCCCTATCCCACCCCTCTAGGTGGTCACAAAGCACCTAGCTGGTCTCCCTGTGCTATGCAGCTGCTTCCCACTAGCTATCTGTTTTACATTCGGTAGTATATATAAGTCCATGCCACTCTCTCACTTCGTCCCAGCTTACCCTTCCCCCTCCCCATATCCTCAAGTCCATTCCCTAGTAGGTCTGTGTCTTTATTCCCGTCTTACCCCTAGGTTCTTCATGACCTTTTTTTTTTTTTCCCTTAGATTCCATATATATGTGTTAGCGTACGGTATTTGTTTTTGACTTTCTGACTTACTTCACTCTGTATGACAGACTCTAGGTCCAACCACCTCACTACAAATAGTTCAACTTCATTTCTTTTTATGGCCCCATTGGTTAATTTATAAGATCTTTGACTTCTAGCAAATTTAAACATTTGATATGAGTTTATTATATTTGTCCCTTTAAAAATTACTTTTTATCTTCTTATTGTTCTATACAGTTCCTATTTTATTTATATCTAGCCACGGCTTAATCCCTTCATTCTTCTGCATCCCTTCAGACATCTGCACAATGTTATCTGGGATTATTTTCTATCTACCTAAAAAACTCCTTTTAGAATTTCCTTTAATGTAGGTCAGCTGATGATCTTAATGTTTGTCATAAAAATGCCTGTATTTTACTTTCAATTTTGAAGAATATTTTTTACTGGGTAGTATATAATCTAGATCGGCAGCTAATTTCTTCTAGTATTTTGAAGCTATCTGAAGGTCTTTAGGCTTCCATTTTGTCTTTGAGAATAAGCTCTTGATCTTACTGTTGCTCTGTTGCAGGTAATATATCTGCTTCCTGTGCCTATTTTTTTTGAAGATTTTTCTCTTTGTGTTTAATTCTCAGTAGTCTACTGTGATCTGCCTAGGTATGGTTTTCTTTGCTTGAAATCTGCTGATATCCACAATGTTTCTTGATTCTGTGAGTTGCTGTCTTTCATTAGTTTTGAAAAATCCCTAGCCACTATCCTTTACACTATTGCTTCTTTTTTTTCTCTCCCCTCTCCTTCTGATGCTTCAATTACATGTGTGTTAGAACATTTTAACACATACCTTACATACTTTACAGTAAGTCCCCTACACACGAACCTTCAAGTTGCGAACTTTCAAAGATGCAAACGTGCGTTCACATGTCCAGTCATGTAAGTTAGTTCACGTGTCTGGCATACGTTGTCATGTGCGTGCATCCTCTACAAGTGGTTGTGCTTTTGTGTACTTTACTGTACAGTACTGTATAAACTACAATAGTACAGGATCTTTAGTTCAAGCCCAGGATGTCCAGGAGCAAGTGTAAAAGCAACAGTGCTGTAGCTGGTACTGCTGAGATTCACGACTCAGGAAACGGCAAGGGGATTTTCTTTATTTGAGGAGGCACTGTTAGTTTTTGAGGCACAGGACCCAAACGTAGAACGGTACACGAAGGCTGCAGCAGCCATTCAGAATGCAATCCAGTGCTACCATGTCATCTGTGATGAGAAAAAAAGAGTTACTACCCAGACATCACTGGATTGTTTTTTCAAGAGGATAGATACAATTGAATCCAGCAAGGAACCTGAACCTATGCCATCAACATCAGGCATGAGTGAAATTGCAGCTTGCCCTCCGTCTCCTATTGCTGGCGATCCTGCAGCTCTACCATCTCCCATCTCCTCTCCCTCCTCCAGTCAGTAACTCTTCTTGCCTGTTCACTTGATGTCAGTCCCTGGATGCCAGCTGTCGTACTGTACTACTGTACTTTTCAAGGTACTGTACTGTAAGATTAAAATGTTTTCTTTATGTTTTGTTTGTTTTTTATGTATTATTTGTGTGAAAAGCATTATAAACCTATTACAGTATACTACTGTGTAGCCGATTGTGTTAGTTGGGTACCTAGGCTAACTTTGTTGGACTTAGGAACAAATTGGACTTACGAACCCGCTCTTGGAACTGAATTCGTTCATATGTAGGAGACTTATTATATTCTCTTTTCTGAACATTATGTCCTCTTATCTCGTGTTTCATTTTGCATAATTTTTGACCTATTAAGTTCACTAATCAGGTTCACTAATTTTTTCTTAAGTTGTATCAAATCTGTTATTAAACCCGTCCCTATTCAGTCATAGTTTTAGTTTGTGGGGTTCCCCCCCCAATCCTACAAAGTCCATTTTATTCTTCTTTGGAGTTCTCAGTTCTATGCTGAAATTCTCTATCTTGTCATTTAATTTCTTGAAGATATTAAACAGAATTATTTCAAAAAGCTGTCTTTAAGATTCAGTATCTGGATCTCCTGCTTGCTTATTTCTGTTTTCTGCCTTTTCCTCTCAGTTTTTAAGATAATTCTTTTCGTGTGCCCCTTTTAAAAATTTTAGAAGTGCCAGACATTGGGTATGAAATACTGTACAGATAATGTGTGGCTCTGGGTGGTTGTGTTTTTCTCCAGAGGGGATTTACTATCGAGTTTTGAAGCTGTTCTTCAGTCCTTGGGAGGGCTGGTCTATTTCCTTTTTACCGATGCTCCTAGGATGTAGCACTCTGGGGTGCCAACTGCAAGTCTAGTGTGTTTACCAGCTCTTTCTCCTTAGTAGATCCTAAACTCCAATTTTTCATCTCCCCAGCCTGGTGAGATGCCTAAAGTCCTACTTATTTTCTCACCCTTTCAGTCATTGCTTTGGAATTATCAAATGCCTCATGGGAAAGTGGTGTCATTCTGGGCTGCCCTTCTTTCCAGGATCTTAGTCATCCAAGTTCTTGCTGCTTTTGAAACTCTCTGATGTTTCAAGTAGAGGACTGTTTTAAATTTTTTTCTAATATTTCTCAGTGAGAGTATTGATCACAAGTAGACTAGCTCATCATCGCAAAACTCTAAGCAGAGCAGTGACATGATCTGATTTAGATTTTAAAAAGATCACTCTGGTTCCCTTGAAAATAAACTGTGTGGAATTGGGGAGGAAGAAGGATGGAAGCAGGTAATCCAGTTAGCGAGCTATCACACTAATCCAGACAAGAGATAATGCTAATTGTGGTAATGTGGAAGAGAAGTGATCAGATTCTGGATATATTTTGAAGGTAAAGCCAAGAGGATTTACTTGTAAATTGGATGAAGGTATGAGAGAAAGAGGAGTCAGTACTGACGCCAAGGTTTTTGCCCTGAACCACCAGAAGGATGGAGCTCCATTTACCGAGGTGGGGAAACTGGGCAGGAGTGCATTTATGAAGGATGATCAGGACCTGACTTTTGCTCGTTACGTTTGAGATGCTAATTTGGCATCTAAATGGTGATGCCAAGTGTATACTTGAATATATGAGTCCGAAGTTCAGAGAATGGTTGGAAGCTGGAGATAAAAATTTTGTAGTCATGAGCATACGAATATTATTAAAGACACAAGACCGGATGAGAGCACCTCGAAAGTTAAATATAGAGAAGACTGCACACAGTATAATAGTGCCTGTTTCATAGGGCTGGTGTGAGAGCTTAAAAATATTTATCCACCTCTTGCCTCCACGTCCTCCTCTCAACGTGGGAAGGAACCAGCTGCCCCCGGGCAGCTTCCGCGTGCTGTACAGCAGCCCTGATCTGAGTCTCATCGCCCCTCCTGACCCGCCCAAGGGAAGGGATCGTGAAGCTCTGGCTGGCAGCTCCTACGCCTTTCATTAACGGAGGGCTCAGGTTTCCAACTCTCAGATGCTCAACAGGTGCGTAACTGGCTGATGCAGTGGGTCCTCCAGCCAGAAGGGTGGTACTGTTGGTCGCCTGCAGACTGCTCAGGCCCACCCCGAGGCCGCCCGCCAGGCTGCACCTTCTCCCCCTCGGCTGCAGAGGGCGCGCGTGAGGCGCGCGGCGCTCCGGCCCCGCGGAAGCTCAGCGAGGGCCGAGGGGAGGGGCGGGGCCGAGCGTGGGGCGGGACCGGACGGCTGGGAGGCGGGGGCCGGGAGGCAGCCGGCGGCACTCTGTGCGCGGCGCAGGGGAGAGCGGTTGACCTCCTCAGACGTTCTCGAGGCAGCTGGAGGCGGGACCGTGACCCGCTGGCAGCTCGGAGCTAGCCGGGCGGCCGGAGCTAAAGAGCGCCCGAGCGCCATGATTCCTCTGGAGAGGCCGAGCAGCGGCGGCTCTTCCCCGGCCGCCGCCCCCGGCTCGGGTCGAGTCGGCCGGGGTCTGACCACGCCGCGCCGGCTGCCGCCCCCGCCCCGCGGGCTGCTGACGGAGATCCGCACCGCGGTGTGCACCGAGCCCTTCCAGGATGCCTACAGCCTGAGCCCGGGCCGGGCGCTGGGCAGGTGAGGCGGACGAGGGCCGGGCGGGCGGGGAGCAGATAAGTGCGGGAGGCCGGCGGGGGCAGATAGCGCGCCGGAACCGGGCACAGACCTGGGTGCGGGCGGCGATTAGGGCGGCAGGGCCCCCAGGCCACCCTTGCACGCGCCGCGTCCCCCGAGCCGGCGCGCTCCGCCGGCGTGTGCTGTACCCTGGGTAGCGGCCGTGAGAAAGTCTCCCGCGCGGGTACCCGAGAACCTTGACCGCTTCCTCTGCTCCGGGCCTTTTCGGCCTCTGTGGTCCTTGGCTCGGTAACTTAACGAGACGGCGTGGGAACCACGCTGCGAACCTTTACCCGCGGCGGCGAGTCTGAAGCCAGAGCAGAGGTGTGAAGGCAGCTCCGGTTTTGCCCCTGGAGCTTGTGGGTTCCTGCTTCTCCCTCTGCGGCTGTGACAGAGCAGAGAGCAGAACGCCGAGCGTGACAATTTCTGTCCGCCGCCTCCTGCTGACTTCGGTTGCGGTTTCTTGGGTTTGTGCTGCTTTCGTTCTGAAATGAGGTCCCTGCGCCTTTTAAGTTCATATCGGTTTCACTTGTAGGCTCCGGGCCCTCGTCTGACTTTCTCTGCTGAAAACCGGCCCTTGCCTTCTCTTCCCCTCCCCACTCTTGCTTTGTAGGGGTCGGGAGGGCTTAGAACTCGGTCTCTTTTTCAAATTGCACAAGGTGAAGGCTGTTTGGATCCTTTACATCTTGTACGTTGAAGAGGGGTCCAAGAGTGTGATAGGGGTTTGGGGACCGACTCCCTTTTTCCTTAAGAATAGTTTGGAGAAGTCGTCAAAAGCACAGGCTTTGGGGCCAGACCCGAGCTCAGGTCCCCACTCTGCTTGCTCTGTGTGCCTTTGGACGGTAACATAGACTCCCCAGCCTCTCGTTTCCCACCCGTAAAATCAGCGTAGTGACAGTGTCTCCGTCAGGGGTGTCGTGAAGATGCGGTGGCTGTAAAGCACAATTCACTGGGCCTGGCAAAAGCGCAGCAGGTTGTAATGGGTAACAGCCTTCACCTGGGGCTCTTGGAAAAAGAAGTCCTCGTAACAGTGATTACAATGTTAAAAACAAGCTGCCTTACAAATATTAAGGTAACTTTTAGAAATCGTTTTTTTGGCAAGGAAACCTACCTTAAAAGTGTCTCATTTATTCCAAATGTTACAAGGAGAAACATCTTTCTGGGACAAGATTTACATCACTGTGCTAGGCACTAATTAACTGCATCTGTGCACACTTTATGACAAAGGAAGAGGTAGGTAGCTACTGACTCATGTAGGTATTCTAATTGGTCAAAATTCCAGACATTCTGAATTAACCCTGATTTCTCGAAGAAGGAAAACTAGAACTCTCCGTTGTTTGGTTGTCTGGCTTCATTCCACAAAATGAGAACATATTACAAAACTGAAATGTCTTCGGGTGGCAAGCACTGTCTTGTAGACTTTGCAATAAATGATTTAATCTGAAAAAAAATTGATTTGCGCCCTACCAGCTGTGTGACAATTCCTCCGGGAATGTTTCAACTTTCATTTTACCCTCTCTATTATAAAATTAGCTTGCCTGTAAAGTGTTTGTTTGAAGGTTGTGACGTCTTGTACATATCTTCTTATATAAATTTCTTTACATAAGTAATAATTCCTGAAGCAGCAGAACAATGCAATTAGATAGATACTTGATATAAGAGCCTAAAACTGAAAAAACGAATGTATTTGTTTCTTTTTGGTTCTCTTTTCATCACGGAGAAGTGTAATGCAGTGTTCTAGAACATGGACTTTGGAGTCAGACAGTGGAGTCTTGGCCCTTTACTTACTAGTTACATGTACTTGAGTAAGTTACCTAACCATTGATAGCCTCATAGAGTTGTTGAGAGAACTAAATAAATTAAAAACATGTGTAGCATAAAGGCTGTACTTAGCTTCCGGGGTGCACTCAAAAAATGCAATTCATTGTGTAGCTCAGTGAATGTAACCAAAAGGCAAAAACAGGAAAATGTGCACGACCTCAAAATACTTTTCATCTGTTGCAAAAGTAATAAAACCTCATTCCAAAAGACAAGAGAACTGTTCAGAAGTCTCAGGAAGTAAAAGCTCTGTTTTGTGTTAGAAGCTCTCTGTTTAAGGTTTATAAGTTTTGCCTGTGTGTTGTAGTTTTGACATAATGAAGTGTGTTTATGTGTATTCCTTTCTGTAGTAAGATAGAAAAGTTGCATCTTTTTCCAACTGTTAACTCTGGTTGCATTTCTGATAGAACGAGTCGATCTCATGCTGATACAGAACTTAAAAATTACTCATGTTGTATTTTAACGATGTGGTATGAAAAACAAAGATCTATTCATTTTGTTCTATGGCCTTTCATTTAGTTGAGAATGTTGAAGAGGTGTGAAGAGCTAACTGTTCAAACACAGAAACTGAGTTCTTTTGGGAGTTCCCAATTTATCTTACAGAAATATAAAGCTTTCAGTGAGATGGCTGTTTGGAGAAAACATTTTAAATGGTCGATACTGATTCCATAGTAATGAAAGTATGTAATGTTGATTATTTTAAGAAATGTCACATTTCTTTCATACCTCCAGTAGAGTCCATGGCAACCTAAATATGGGTAAATATATGATGTAAAATTTGCTTTTATTGCTGGAAGCTTGACTTATTATTCCTGAGACTTGTTACCTTTCTCTGAGGCAGGACAGGTGCCAGTGGAAACCACAGTAATGACGCAAGGCGCAGGAGCCATGACCTTGAGTTCTGAGAATTTTTTTCAAAGTGTTGACTTCTCGAGTTCTAACCGATAGTGTAGGAACAGAAAAATGTTTCTAGGAATTTTAAATTATACTAATTCCACATCAAATGATTTGCCTAGTCCTCAACTTGAGCATTTTTTGACATACTCATACATTTTATCTTAAGAAAAAAGAGATCTTTAAAGCCAAAAGAACATCTTTTGTTTTTTATATTATTACATACTCACAGTTGATATTTCCTGTGGGGGGAAAAAAGGTATAAATATGAGTTCTCTGCTGGAACGGGTCCTTCATAAATGTATAGGGGCCATACAGTTTTACAGGTGCTTTCACTTGCATGATCTCATTTACTTCTCATCACAAGCAGGTTTGGGAAGTCCCATCTTTCAGATGAGAAAATCAAGACACAGGTAGATTGAGTCTTGTGAGAATCACCTGAGCTGGGGCTCTGAAATCACTTCCATTTATACCACAGATGTTTCTCAAAGAACAATCCTAGCCTGTCTTGTGGCTAAAGCAATTTCCCATCGTTTTTATGAGAGGACAGGTTAATGAGTTCCAAATTGGAACAAACCCTGCCCAGCTTCGGTGTCATATGCTTCCCTCCCCGGTTCCACCTGGGTCCTTGGGCTCTTGAATCAATAGCAATGGATAAGAGGCCAGAGGAGCATTCCAGGCAAGGCTTTACTGGGACTCCGTGCTGCAGCACGAGGGAAGGAAAACAAGAAGCAGGTGCCCTTACTCGTTCCCCAAAGTGGGGTGGGCGGAGCTGGTCCCTTCAGTGGGGTGAGGGTGGGGGCCGGTGGCTGGGTCGGGCTGGAGGGGAGGCTTCGGTGATCTGCGCACCCCCTTGCTGGTGCTGTGCGCAGGGATCGCGTGCAGCCCCCCGCTTTTGCTCGCAGCTTCTCAGAAGTGGCAGTTGGCCTGAGGCCTTTTTGTATCTTATTGTTCATAATTGACCGCACCTGCGCATGCGTGCAGTTCTTAGTCCCTTAGAGTTTCTTTGTCTATGGCTCGAGGAGATGTTTGTCCAGGTGCAAGCACTCAGGTGAAGGGTCCCAGGTCCCAGCTTGTCTCAGCTGGGCCTTATGGTGGACAGGGACGTCCTATCTCATTATCCTCAGAGTGGTTGGGAGTAACAGGAACGAGGAAGGATTTTTATCAGAGAATTAGAGGATGTTCGAGCTGAAGGGGATGCACAGGTGGATGTGTTTCAGGAGGTGGGTGTCCTTTACCTAGATTTCTGTCTGTAGGTGATGGCTTCAGGTTTAGTACCTTACAGCTACTTAAGCATATGTCATAAATTGTAAGCTGTAATTTCTTTAGAAATAAAGACCCTTGTTAAACAATACTATCCATGTAGAAATTGCACCTTGTTTAGGAAAACTGTTATTTACGATTTCTTGGCAGTTTAAAATTAGTTTGAAAAATATTTCCAGTTTTGGATAATCCAATATTTTTGGATGGGTAAAAACAGTTGGCTATGTTTGTGATTCAGCAGCAGACGTTACTTAGGAAATATGGCTCCTGCTCTAAGGCAGATGCTTCATTAAGTCAACTGTTTTAATTTTGAGAAGTTGGGGCTTACAGTGTTAAAAATAAAATCTTAATTTAAAATACATAAACCTTCCACTATAGTCCAATATAAAATAAAAATTAAATTTAGAAATTACATAAACTTAAGGATTTGATGAATTTCAGCCTCTTTACATAACTACAATAACAAAATTTTATAAAATCTGATTATTGAACCAAATGCATTAGAAAGTTAAGTAGCTACAGTCATTGATTCACCTGTTCAGGAAGGGAAGAAGGAACCCGACTTATAGAGGGAATTTATGCATCAAGTAGAGAGTTCAAATTAGATCACCTCCAAAACTCCTCTGTTCTGTATGATTATTTTTTTTTACAAATTATCATAGATCTGAAATTAATGTCCCAAACAATAAAAATAGCTGCTGTGTACTGATTACTGATCATTTGCCGGATGCTACACACTTTGGAGATGCCATTTTGTTTAGTGCTCATTACCCTGCAAGGTTAGTGCCATCAACCTCATTTTACAGGTGAGCAATCTAAGACTCAGAAAGCCTGAGCCAAGTGTCCAAGATTACAGTTAGCAGCCGGAATTTAAAACTGAGCCCGGCTTTTAAAGCCTTACCTGTTCTTGTCACTTATGTCGATGTCTGATCTGACGGACTCACTGATTTTTACACTTAGGGTCAGCAGATAGTTTTTTGTTGTTTTCCTTTCAGAGGTAAGGAAGATACGTCTTTTCTAGGTCTTTCTTGAACGGAACTTCTTTGCACTTAAGGCATAACCCCAGTGCTATTGAGCAAATACTGTACTTGCATATTGAGCACATAAGGCCCTTTGATAGGCTCTGGAAGTTATTCCCAAATCTAACAAATCAGTCACTACTCCCTTTATAGGCGAGCTGACATGCCACATGGGAAAATAACATTTGAGCTGGGCCTGAACGAACGGGTGGAATTTTACTACTAGTAGTGATGAAAGATACTCCAGACATTGGCAAGAAAACAAATAAGCACAGTGCAGAAAAAGTCAATGAAAAAGAGAAAGGCAAGTAGTCCATTGTGGCTAAAATATTAAACCTTATGAGGTTAAGTTGCCATAGAACTTTTCTTTAACAAAATAGCATGAACAGTGTATGTACTCAGGGTGTTATCTGATGTCATATTTGAGCACCTGCCATGTGCGGGGCTCTACGCATGGAGATGCAAAGATGAATAAGAGGCCAGGTTCCTGGAACTCATCCTCCAGCCAAGGAGACAGTCTTAGGGCAACAAATTCTAATATGTCAGACCAACTTTAATAGAATACAGGGAGAAACAAAGCACTTTACTGTAATCTATTATAGAATCAAACCTGGAACCTCGGAGGTCACTTTTCTTTTGCTTCTTCTATATACCACTCAAATTAGCATCTACAGTTTTTAATCTTTGCCTGAACCTTATATATTTTATTATCTGTTCACCTTTGTGTAGCAACCCAACACTGGAACTTATATTTGGAATCCATCTAGTAAATAAAGTTCTCTTTACAGAGAAAAGCACCTCAAACTTCTCCCATCCAAACCTAACACACTCCCCCTCCCCCTGCCCCCCCCCCCCCCCGCCCCCCCCCCCCCCCCCCGCAAATCCGTTATCATTCTTCTAATCTTTCTCTCAGTGGATGGTACCACATCACCCCGTACCCAGGTTAAAAATCTCCAAGTCATCTTCCACTTCCACCTTTCCCTTCTGCCCTCATCTCTGCCTGCAACTCAGCATGTCAGGAAGTGCTCACGGATCTTGACCTTGAATGTCTTGTAAATTCATTCTCTCTTCCCAGCCTCCACTGCTGGTACTTTCGCTCAGACCCCTTACCTTGAATTATTTTCTTGGCTTCCCTAGTTTCTAGTTAACACTTCACTATACACTCTCAGACCTACCTTTTAACACATTTACCTTACTTAAAAAATTCTCATAGGCGCCCATTTTTACCCTGAGAAATAAAGCACAAACTCCTTAGCGTGTCATACCTACCTACAGATCCTCACTGTGCCTTCCCAAGCTCTACCAGTTGGGCACTGGTGAAGCCCAGTCCTTGTTCTGAGGAAGCTTAGACTGGTGGATCTGACTCAAAATGTTACTTCCTGTTGTTATCATTGTTTATCCTTCCTTTCTTTCCACCCTGGAATGGGTTATCATTGAGTTCTGAAATGTATTCACTTCTGATATTCCCCCCCCCCAAAAATGAGTAATGAAAATCTGAGTTCTCAGTTTAGTGTATAATAGTGAGCTATAGATGTTTGTGAAATGAGTGAAGAGCTCCGAAAACTGTAACAACGATGTAATCCAGGAAGAATTTCGGGTAAGCCAACAAAAGAAAGTAGATGGTGCCCTTTGAACCTCATCAGTCTCAAGTCTCTGCATGTAACTGTGACCCCTGGTGTCAGAGAAACATTATTTCATGCTTTGGAGAGCCCTCAGTAACTTAGAGTTGAGGTACAATCACAGTTTTTACCATGAAGTTGTGGTAAAGCATGCATACTAGAGCCCCTGCACGTGTGGAATTTAGGGCCACTGTGACAGTGTTCATTCGTAGTGTGTTCACTAGGACCCCGCACCTTGACGGCTGAGTCTCAGAGTTCTGTGTCCTGCGTGGCTCTGCAGGAAGAACAGTTCCCGGAAACCTCGTTTCATCTTCTGACTCTCTGAGTAGTTATAAGGGTTCCCCTCCCAGTCATTCAGAGATGAAGCCAGTGCATGTTTCCTCAGACCCTTGTGATCTGCTGCCTTGCTGTCAGTTTCAGTGGTGTGCAGTATCAGAATGGCAGAAGAGTTTTCTTCAGCGTGCAGTAGTGCACGGCTTGGCAACCTACTGCTGGCTGCCTGTTTTTGTAAAGCTCGCCAGCTATATAGAATGATTTTTACATTTTTAAATGATTGAAAAAAGTCAAAAGAAAAGTCATATTTAATGACATGGAAACTATGTGAAATTCACATTTTGTTGTTTGTGTTGGTAAAGTGTTTTGTTTTTTTTTTTTAACCCAGCCACCCCCATTCATTTACCTGTTGTCTCCAGCTGCTTTTACTCTACAACAGCAGACTTGAACAGTAGTGATCAGACCGTCTGGCCAGCAAAACCAAAAATATTTGCTATCTGGCCCTTTACAGAAAAGTTTGCCCACTCCCAGTATAGTGTATGAAATGGGGAAAAGAAAAGGGTAGACTTGCAGCCATGAGGAATGCTTCCTCGAAAACAAAGGTGGTGTCAAGAGTAGTGATTGGAGTGGGAGGAGAGCCGTGGGACCTACTGTGGTGACCCAAGAAATGGGTGCCTGGCCACAGACATCAGATAAGTTTAGGTCTCTCCCCTGTGTTTGCCTCTGGCCCCTGAATTAAGCAATGGTTCTTCTGTAACAAGGGTTCCCAGAGTTTACAGGTCAGTGATGTGTGGGATCCTTTTCTCTGTTGAGTGTCTGGTATTTGGAAATATACCTTCAAGCCAGATAGGTAAGAAGTAGTATTTTACTACTACGCGGTACTGTTGCCTTGAATGTTAGGTATGGTAGCAGTAGATATCTGTGTGTTTCATGTGGGAGTACTCTGAGGGTAGTTCAACCCAGCCATTTCTAATTTAATAGCAAGACGCTTGTTGTCAATTATGTTGGTCAGTTTTTTACAAAATAGGCTTTCTCTTTTTCTCTTCTTTTGAAACTTCAGAAATATAGGTATAAAAAAATCAAACTAGTGATGATTTTTTTCTCTTCCTTAAGGGAATCCAAAGATAATTAGGAACCTTTTAAAACTCAGTGGAGATGTTATTAGCCTAATGATTTTGTGGCGTAAAATAAAAAGAGGTGTTAATCTGTGATGCATAGTTTATTGTTTAATCTCTCTAGTAATATGGAAAAGTCTTTCGCATTTCTGTTGAACATAGAGAACTTTGTTCTGAATTAGGGAGCTATTAGGTAGATTGCCACTAATTGAACATCTGTAGGGCTGTGCCTAAGGATTTTTTCATGTAACATTTTTATTGCTGATGGTATAACAGAAATACAGAAGGCATGAAAATCATGGTTAACAGTAGCTAAGAAGGAAGAATTAGTCCTCAAAATTAGTCAGTAGTCTAGAATGCCGGGCCCAAACCTAGAAAGTAGAATTTAACAGAGCAAATTAAAGGCTTGCATTGAAATTTTTTAAATATATTTTTAAACCATAGTATGAGGACACTGGCTTGAAAAAAATCCAAGAGGAAAAAGATCTAGGTCATTTATTTTATTTATGAAATATGGAAAACCTGTCAAGTGTTTTTAAAGGCATATTAAGTTGTATTGTGCCAACATCAGCAAAATAATAATCATGTAACACTTTGATGAGATTATACTTGGCACAGTTGCTTCAGATTCAGTTGGCACATTTTTCCAGCAGTTCTATGAGTCATGACAGTGAGGCGATCCCAGAACCCTAAGGGGATGAGGAATGATTAGCTGTGTCCAGTACCTGATAGACTGTCATGGGGGCTCTTCAGTACTGCTCAGCAAAAGACCAGGACTACAGCCCTTCACTTGAAGCCAGGTTTAGGCTTGTAATGAAAGCCTTGTTAAGAATAGTATGCACCCAGGAGTGGAAAAGACTACCTCACAGTTTGAAAGAAGACATGGCTTTGGCATTTGGCATTAGGTTAAAAAAAAAAAACTATATGATTTTTGAGTTGCCTTCCAACTTGAGTATTGGATATTTATGGGTGACGATTATTACAACTTAATGATTTGTTTGATTACTAATAGTTTTTTGAGTACTTACTATGTGGCAAGTACCATGCTAAGCAATTGACATGTATTATAATTCTTTAATTCTTACAACAGCACTGTAAAGTAGATTCCGTTTGTGTCCTCTTTTATAGATTAGGAAAATGAGATTTTTCTTAAATAAGAGGTTAAATAAATTGCCCAAGGTTATGCGTTGAGTGAGTGGGCAGAGCCGTTTTGGGGATTCAAGCCCACATCTGTCTAATTCCAGACCTTATCCCTTAATCAATACGCTATACGTGTCCCCATGTGACTTATTAGTGTAATAGCATGGTAGTGGAGCGTATCAAAGTAATGTTTGTTGTATCTGTCTTTATAGGAAAACTAGACATTTCCAGCTGATGCAGTGGTTGAAATGATGTCATATACATGAGATCCCTAACTTTCATAACTTTGGAAGGTGATAGTGTCCTCTTAGAGTCACTTAGTGACAGTGAAATTCATTATTTTAGAATTCTCATAACCGGTTTCTCTTAAAAAAGTCAAATGGCTTTTTTTAAGATTTAAATCATTTTTATGTATAAATGTGTGAAAAATTAAGTTATATAACGCTGCAAAAAAATATTGGCTTTAATATTTGGTTCTGTATTTAGAAGAATGAATCTTGCAAATTTACACATTACATTTTATTTGATTAGAGAGGTGTTTCCCAAGTTATATTGCTACTTTTATGATTGCATATGACCTAAATTTGAATATCCACTGATGACTGTTGGGAAATTTTATTAAAATTTATCATCTCTGAAAAGTCAATTTTAACCGTGAATGTGTTTTGTTGAATTCTAGGGGGAAGTTTGCAGTGGTGAGGAAATGTATAAAGAAAGATTCTGGAAAAGAATTTGCAGCAAAGTTCATGAGAAAAAGAAGAAAAGGCCAAGATTGTCGGACAGAAATAATTCATGAAATTGCTGTTCTTGAACTAGCACAGGACGATCCTTGGGTCATTAATTTACACGCAGTCTACGAGACGCCATCGGAAATGATCCTAGTTCTGGAGTAGTAAGTGTCGTCTCCCTTACTGAGTTCGTTCCATAGTCCACACTCCTTTATCGGTGCCACTCATCTGTGATAACGTGGCAGGCCCTGGTTCTTTAGAAATCTGAAGATTTTCCAGAACTTTCTTGTGTACTGTTCTTACTCATTTGACATATCCCAAATTTGCAAGGATGCATGTATGTTATGTTTCTCGTTTTCACTCTTCAATGAAATTCCTTTGAAAATAAGTTCTCTTATGTTCTTATTAGAGGCTTTCTTAAGAAGGTAAGTGTCACCAAGATAATATTAAAATAGAAAGCATTTTATAATCCCTTACATGTCCATATCGTCGAAGTTATTAATCCTTCTTTCAGAAATGATTGTTTTGATTCATACCATGTTTCCAATTTGGGTAACTAAGTAAGGACAGCAGAGAAAACAGCTTTGGAAGATGAAGGACAGTTTTTTCTTCTTAAGAAATCCTGTTTTCTTCTCTGCTTCTCCTGCCAAAGGAAAAGATTGATAGATTTGAGTACATTAAAAAGCATTATTAGTACATAATATGAACACAAAATGAAAAGACTCAGGGAAAAAATAGTTCTAATATCTGTTCACCCAAACTGATTAATATTTCTTTAATATATAACTAGATCTTACCAATATACACAGAAACATGAACCTCCCAGAGTAAAAAAAAAAAAAAAGGACAAAGAAAGGATATAAAGAGAAATTCCGCACGGAAACCTGTGTAAATGGCTTATACATACGTGAAAAATATTGATTTTTACAGTTTTTATAATGTAAATTTAAAAATAAGTTGCCAATTTCTCTCTATGTAAGATCGTCAGATATCATGAAGAAAAGTGATACTCATGACTTGGATCATCTCATTTATACTACAGGTGGGAGTATTACCTGGTGTAACTCTTCTGGAGAACAGTGTGGAGTATGTATCAAAAGCCCTAAAAATATATATACTCTTTAACCCAGCAATTTCACATACATAAATTTTTTCACAAGGAGATAATCAGGCCATTGTGCAAAGATGTATTATAAAAATGTTTAGTGCAGCAGTATCTACATAACAAAAAAAGAAATAATCTAAATGTTTAATGGTAAGAGGTTGGTGAAATAAGTGATCATGTCATGAGATGGATTGCTCTGCAGTCATTTTAAAAGATATGGTAGATAAAAATGTACTACATAGAAAGATGTTTTAAAATATTAAGTTAAAAAGAAAGAAACGTTACAAAATAACGTGTCTATTATTACCTTGTTTTTATTTAAAAGTTTATAGAGGGAGAAATCTGAACGGCTAAAATAGTGTGTTCCTCTTGCTAATATAATTCAAGAGCATTGTGTTTATATATTTTAATTCGTAATTTCACTTGTAGGAATCCCTTCAAAGAAAAAATAAAATGTGAACAATGGAAAGCATGAAAGTGTTTTCCATTGTGTATTTTTAATTGTAATAGAAATATCCACAAATGATCAAATGCTTAAGAAATGTAGTCGCTGTGGATTATATCTCCGTGCAGTTGTTTTCCAGTTGTAAAAAGAAAGGTTGGTTGAGAGGATTTTGGTTTTCGGTTTGTCCTGGAGGCTTAAGTTAGGATTGGAAATTGATCCGGAAGAGACCCTCCAGCCATCATCTCCTCATTCCTCTCCCGTCCTCGCAAACCTGCTCTTCAGCCTCTGCGCAGGTCTTCAGCCTTCCGTCTGCTCCTGCCTTTTCTTCCGTTACATTCCCTTCCCTTCTGTGGTCCTTACTGCAGCTAGTCCCTCACCAGCGCCTCACGTTACTTCCTTCTTTCTGTTGCTCTCCCTCTGCAACTCCTTCTGCCCGTTTGAAACATGGGATGCAGGCTGTGTGTCCCTCCTGCCCGTTGTTGGGAGTACTTGCATAGTCTTCAGTCTGCTTATTACGAGGGTGAGAGTTGCATCCTCAGCTGGGCTCTTGGTGTAGCTGGGTAATTCTTTACCTAATCTCTCAGCCCCTTCTTTTACCATCCCCGGCAGGTGGGCAGGAGCTAATCAAAACCTTGACCACACTTACCGTGTCACCCACTTTCCACCCGTTAGACACCGAGGCTTCTCTTCCTTTATGGAGGAAATAAAGGCCATCAGACACACGCCTCAGCATCCCTCTCTAACTGCTCTCACCTGCTTGCCTTCTGTTCCGAGGAAGAGATCCCACTCCTTAACTCGAAGGCTAAAACTTTGACGTATGTTCTTTAATCCTCTTTTCTAGGACTTGAGTTTTACGTTTTAGTCACTTACCTAACCTCTCTCTCAGAGTCCCTCTCCTCTAGTGATTCTTTTCCCTCCATCTTCCAGGATTCCAGTCACTTCTCTCCTAAAATTCCTGCTCCTCAGCTTTGACTCTTTCTGAACTAATGTCCTGCCCTTCTCTTTGCTTTACTGCTGTGGTCTTTAAAGGAGTCGTCTGAATGTACAGCTTTCCTCACCTTCCAGGCAGTTCTGTTCTACTTCATTGATCCATCCATCTGCTGGTGTGCCGATACTCCATCACTTTTCAGTCTAATGCCATCTGCTCTCCTAAAACTTTCATGAGGTCATCAGCCCTGTGTGCCAAAATCGATCTCCTCATTTTAGTGTTCATTCTACTTCTTACTCTCTTTCAACACTTGATATTATACCTTCCTCTCTTGAAATTATGTTCTTCCTTGGCTTTCATGGCCCTCTTTTATTTTTTAAATCGTAGAGCCTTTTCCCCTTCATCTACTATATAAATATAAGTGCTCCCCGCAGCTCATTAGTGTTACTCTGGTCATACGTTTATATTCTGCACGTTTACGCTGGATGATAACAATGCATTTTTGTGGCTTCAGCTATTTTCTACGTGCTGGTTATTGCTGGTTATTTCCAAATCTTTATCTCCAGCGTCAGACCTTTCCCTCAGCTCCAGCTGCTCTACTGCATATCCCTGAATCCACCTGCACATCATGACCGATGCACGATCAGTATGTTTTCACCCCTGCATTAATGCCCATGTTTCTTTGCTCCCCACTTCCAGTGGTATCCCTGTTTATTTCATCACTCACGTAGAAACCTTGGGTCTATCCTTGATTGCTTTGTCTCATTTAATGCTCGTGTGTCATGAATTACCAAGTCTTCCACTTGAACCTCTCCCCTGCTGGTCCTTTTTTCATTGTGTTTGCTGTTTCTCCTCTGTGTTGGGTCCTCTCTCTCGCATGGACTCTCACAGTAGCTGCTTAGCTGATCACTCTGGCTTCAATTCTAGGGCATCCCTCAGGCTCCTGTTGGATAGGTGACCTACACATAGATGTGGCAATATTATTCCCTTGCTTAGAAATCTTTGGTAGCTTCTGTTGCTTCCATGATCATGTTTCTAGAACTACAAAACAGTATGATTTGGCCCAAACTTTTTGTGTTCTACTTTTTGTTTGAAGAGGAAGTCTTAGAATTAGACTTTGCACATTGAGAGATCAGAATTCTCGGCCATGTCAACAGATTGTTGTTATGGAAGCTGGCAGGTTCATGATTACTGTATTACTCATTCCACCTGCCATGTGCTCTGGATACTAAGGTGCTGGTAATACGAAAGTGAAAATAGCATAACCCCTTTGTTCCAAGTGCTATAGTTTAGTGAAAGAGATAGAAATGATGGCAACAACCTTGGTGTTTTACTAGAATTCTTGTTAATTGCTGTGGGAACATAGATGAGGTGTTAGTAGTCATAGCTAAGAATTTACTGTGTGCCAGGCACTGTGCTGCGTCTTCTCTGGCAGCTTTGTATACATCATTTATATGCTTTATATAGATTATTTGTGCATTTTAGTTTTAAATTTTCTCCAGCTTTACAAGACGTGATTGACATAGAACATGCTGTAAGTTTGAGGTCTGCAACGTCTTGGTACACTTATATCTTGCAAAATGATTACCACCAGGGCATTAGCTAACACCTGCATCACGTCACATAATTACCATTTCTTTTTTGTGGTGAGAACATTTAAGATCTACTCTCTTAGCAACTTTAAAGTATATAACACAGTATTATTAACTGTAATAATCATAGTTACATTAGATCCCCAGAACTTACCTTATAACTAGAAGCTTATGCTCTGACCAACAGCTCCTTTTTCCCCACCCCTAGTCCCTGGTAACCACATTCTAATCTCTATTTCCATTTGAGTTTGCCTTTTGTAGATTCCACCTATAAGTGATATCACACAGTATTTGTCCTTTTCTGTGTGACTTATTTCACTTAGCATGATGCCCTCAAGTCCTATCCACATTTTTGCAAATGGAAGGATGTCATTCTTTCTTGTGGCTGAACAATATTACATTATACATATATATATATATACACCACATCTTCTTTACCCATTCATGTTTTGACAGACACTCAGATTGTTTCCATATGTTAGCTATTGTGAAGAAGCCTGCAGTGAACATGGGAGTGTAGATATCTCTTCGAGATCCTGCTTTCATTTCTTTTGGATACATACCCAGAAGTGGAATTGCTGGATCATATGGTAGTTCTATTTTTAATTTTTTGAGGAACCTCCCCACTGTTTTCCAGAGTGGCTGCACCAATTTACATTCCCTTCAACAGTGCACAAGGGTTCCCTTTCTTCCACATCCTTGCCAACACTTTCTGTCTCTTGCCTTTTTGTTGATAGCCATCCTAACAGGTGTGAGGTGATGATAGCTCATTGTGGTTTTGATTTGCATTTCCCCAATGATTAGTGATGTTGAGGACCTCTTCATGTGTCTGTTGGCCATCTGTATGTCTTCTTTGTGAACATGTCTATGTAGTTCCTCTGCCCATTTTTTTAATTGGAGTATTTGGTCTTTTGCTATTCAGTTGTATGAGTTCTTTATATACTTTGGATACTAACCCCTTATCAGATATATGAGTTGCAAATATTTTCTCCCATTCCGTAGTTGCCTTTTTATTTTGTGATGATTTCCTCAGCTGTGCAAAAGCTTTTTAATTTGATGTAGTCCCAGTTGTTTATTTTTGCTTTTGTTATCAA